GGCCTGTGTTGTGCAGGAGGTCAGACTAGATGATCATAATGGTCCCTTCTGACCTTAAAGTCTATGTCCTGTCCGGGTCTATAAAGCGGCCCTGCCAGAGGACAGGGCTGAGGGGGGGGGGCAAGGCTAAGGGTGGTGCAGCTGCGCTGCAGGAGCTACCAGCATGGGGCCACCCAGTGGTCCCACATTCTGCTCCTTTCGCCACTGCAGTTCCAGAGAGCCCTGAGGTTCAAAAGTCTCCGGCGCAGCAGGCAGAGGACAGAGGCCCCCCACCCCCCAGGTAATGTGGGATGGATCATGGGGACGGGGAGAGCACGGGGCCCCAGAATGGGGGCAGGGCAGGGTCATGTGAGGAGGTCACGTGCCTCCCCCTTTAGCTGGTGCAGCGTGCCAGTAAAGTTGGGTGTTTAGAAGTAGGCACCTGAATTGATACTAGAAGCCCCAATTATGTAAAGACTTGTGTACCTGCTTAACTTTATGAATGGAATGGTTCGGAGAAAGCTAAGCACAGGGCCTACAAGTATAAATAAGAGGCCTTTGAGAAACCCTTTAAGCTAATGAGCTAAACACCTTCACTTGTAATATCCCTTTGTGTTAATACTAACTGTACCTCAAGTGGATAGTAAGCCCTTCCCCCAATCACTGGGCTTAAAAACACCAGATTTGTTTATGTTGACTTGACAGCAAGATGTACAGTAGTTCTCTGAGGGTATGTCTACACTGCAGCATGGACTGAACCTCTCAGCATGGGTAGACAGGCTTGAGTTAGTGCACTAAAAATAGCAGTGTGGATGTTTCAGCTAGGGCGGCAGCTCAGGTGCTCAAGCCCACCTGCCACACTTGGGTGACTAGCCTGAGTCTCTGCCAGAGCTGTAACATCCGTGCTGCTATTTTCAGTGCTTTAGCTCAAGCCCTGGGAGTGTGTCTGTCCATCTGGGCTGGGGGGCTTGCTCCCAGCTGCAGTGCAGACATACCCAGAGAGGCTAGTTTCTCAGAACTAGAGAAATCTACAAATCAACATTGGGCAAGGCTACAATGATAATAACTCCTTATTAGTGAATAAATCACTATACAGGCCCATCAGTAATTGGATGAGATAAAGATTTTTTTTATTTTTATTTTTTTGGGGGGGGTAAAACTCACCATGAAAGCTGTAAAAAGAGGCAGCTTTGTAAGGGCTGAGACACAATGTCTAAGTGTTCTGGAATACTCAAGGGCTAGTGTAAGTGAAATGGCACATCTAAGGAGAGGAAAGATTCCTACAAGGACGTTTTCAATGACCTATTGAGCTGTGGTTTATGAAGACTGAGGCAGATTTTCAGGAAGATCTGTAGGAGTCTTTTACAGGATTATGAACAGCTGACTTGTCAGTATGCTTAACTGGAGCCAGAATGATTGACAGAGTTACTACTCCAAGTTTCAAAGACGGTAGACCATGAACCTGCCAGACTTGTTACTCTAGTTGAAAAATCTAAATTACCCTTTGTTAATGTTAGCTCTCTGACATGTCTGATAGTCTTATGCAAAGGTGTGTGTGTGTAAAACTGTTAGTGTGCCCTGAACCTGCTTAACCTTTCCCTTGGGATTATTAATTTTATGTTCTGGTTCTAAGAGTAAGTCTCCCTCTCTCACTTCTGTAGCATTTCATGTCTTTTTGGTAGTGTCCCAAAATAAGATAATACAAAAATCTCTTCTGAGAAGCAAATTTTTCCTCAATTCCCACTGGGCTAGCAAATTCTTTTAACTATGCTTTATAGTGAAACACATGCTTGTTTTTAAATGTCACTCTAAATAAAGATAAATACATTTTCCAAGGCAATACATACATTATATTGTTAGTAGGATACACACAGTGCTCAAGGAGAACATAATTAATAGGTACCAGAGAGGTTTTTGTATTCATGAGAGAAGAAATCTTTGTAGACAGCTAAGCTGGAAGTCACTGCAACATCCTCTAACAGAATCAGTACTGACTTATTATTCAATATTTAAAAGAAAAATCCTTTCTAAACTGAAGCTCATCATACTATTAACATCTCTTTCCCCAGTGTAATACAGTCTCATGAGATAATAAAGCAAAGGTAACATAAAAAATAGAATTTCTGGGGCTTTAAGTGGAGATTCTTTCTATAAGTATCAGCTGGTGAAGCATATGAAATGATTTGCATTGCTTATGGCAACCACATTTTATCTTTAAGGATTTAGAATATTTTTGGGCCCTATAATATCTGTTCCCTTTCCTGTGCCCCACAAGCAATAAAGACCCCTGTTGAAGAAAAACCACTGTGATGCTTCTGAGGGGTACCTAGGGTTGTGAGCCACCTTGCTACCACTGTCACTTAGAGGGAGGAAATCCTGTCTGTGCTGGCCGTGAATCAATTGCCTGACTCCACCAGCCACTGCCAATGCAAGCACTGCCTTCCAGGCCTCCTCAGGCCTCGCTATCTCTATACAGGCACACACCAACCCACACGTCCTCCAAGCGTCCCTCTTGCATCCTCAACTCCTGTTCTACGAACAATCCCATATCTTCTGCTCCCAAAGAAACAGTACACACCAACTTACAAGATTCAGCTCAGGATCACCACTCCACTTAGCATGGTATTTATGTATATTTATAATGAAAACAAAGATATGTTTATTATCAGAGAACAGATTCGAATGATAGTAAGTAAGAATATTGAAAACAGATGGTTACATGTAGAACAAAATAATAACACACTTTCAAGAGCCTAAACTTAATTCTCAATACTTTCCTCTCTTTCCTACAGGATAGCTTACCCTTAGTTCTTTTCTCAGCATTTTCAACCACGATGACTAAGGTTCCCTTTTCATAAGATCAAGCCTGCAAGCAATTTGTTTTCACAGACTGAGGCATACCAGAACATTTCTCTGCACTCCCAGATACGCCAGACCAGACCTTTGGTTCCCTTCACCCCTCCCCCGCTGTAGTGGGATGGCAGGAGTTAAAAGCAGCCCTGGAGAGGGCTGCAGCTGGGAAAAGCAGTGAGAGCAGCTGAGTGAGTAGCTGACCACAGGTGTGGCCAGCTCAGTCAGGAGCCAGCTGGTCCTGATAAGAAGGCAGTGGGCCAGGAGTCAGGGGAATCTCACTCTAGCCCTTGAGTGGGAAGGGTTAGTTGCCTGAGAGCAAGGTACCTGAAGTAGAGCAGTGTTGGGGAAGGGCAAGAGGAGCTAGGGAGCTCAAGCCTGGTAAACCCCAGGCTGTAGGCCTTGGTGAAGGCCTACAAAAGTACTGGGGCTACAGAGGTTCAGCTTGGGAATAGGCAGAGGTAGCTGATCCTAACCTCTTGCCAATGATGAGTGGCCATTACAGACTGCACTCTGCCCCAGTGAACAGGAGCTAGATGATGACTGGCAGTAGCCACCGAGGCAAGGTGGGGATAGAGGGTTGGAGGTTCTTCTGGGAGGGGAGACCCAGAGTGTGGAGGCATTGTTGTAAGGGGCACTGGGGGTCTGGGAGGGACATGGGGTCTAAGGCAGGTGAGACACCAGGCAGAAGGAGGTGCTCTGGAGCTGGACAAGAGCTAATTCCCAGGACAACCAGCAGGAGGTGCTGTGCCAGTGAGTGTTGCTTTGCTACACCCACCCCCTGCTGCTTATCTGTTCCTGTTAATTTCCTTCTGAAGTCTCAGCAAATGCTTTCTTAACATTCGACTCAGTATGCTAATTATAAGTATGCTTCTGTTGTAAGGCACACAATATACAATGGTCCATCAGGGAAATAAGCATCTCCCAATCTCCTGGCTGGAGTAGTTTGTCTCAAGGCACACTACATTTCAGTGACGTGTCTTTAACTGGGAGGCCTAGACAACATAATTTTCAACATACATATAACTGCTTAGATATTTTCCACACATACATCTCACAATGGTTACAATGACCAGTGTGATACAGGCTTTCATTAGAGACCTTACAAGACATTCTTTTGGCAAACTCAGGGGACCTGTACTCCTATGCCATCTGCCAGTTGGCATCAAAAGGTCGTTAGGTCACAGCCACCTGAAGGTTACTTGATCCCAGTAGAGCCCATCCCTTCTGTTCTACTTGTCATGAGGAGTCTGATCAAAGGTCCACTGAAGTCAATAAAAATATTCCCATTGATATCAAAAGGCTTTGAATCAGAACCCAAGCTGAAATATGGGCACAACACATGCTTACCAGCCATAGTGGAATAAATTTTTTTTTTTAAAAAGTCCTTGTGGATAGTTCATGATCTGGATACAAGTGTTAAACTTATCAATATATTTGCTAGTAGAAGATTGCCAAGCTCTTCTCCACATGCATACCTGTTTCCATATCCATGGCTCAAGGAATTAGTAGCACTGGTCAGGAGAATAAAACAAAAAGTGCTCTCTCTCTGTCTCAGTATGTAACTTACAATGGTTAAAAAGGTTAAGCTCCAACTTTCTAGAAAATCCTCCTTCAAAGGAAGAGTTTGTTTTCTCCTAATCGATGGAGGTTGCCTCAAATTTTGGAACATGTGGATTTTATAGTTTACATAATCCACACGTTTTCCTGTGAGCAACATGTAGAACTGTATCTCTTAGTTTGTTTGTTTGAAAAACAATCAGCATTGTAATTGGTTTAGCGCCCGCAACTTTGGATGTCTCTTGTGAAATCATTCCCTCATTAGCTCCAGTGAGCCTTCAACAATCATTTTCAGCCAAAGACGAAAAGCTAGTTCAGCAACTCCCAACTAGGGTGTGGGGGAATGAAAATCTATTTCCAATTCAAACAAAATAGTCTTCACTATATGAACATCAACACTGCAATAGTTGTATTGGTGCTTGGTTTTGGTCTAAACTACATTTGATATAAAGTCTATTCGTAACAGCTGCTTTTGGCCTGACATGTAATGTCTGTTGCATATGTTTTTCAATGATTTCTAGGTTATTCTCCATAAGTGCCATTCTCCTACCCTTTATCTGTCTTGTCTACTTAGACTGCAAATTCCTTGGGGCAGGGACTGTTCCTTACTCTTTATTTAAACTGCCTATCACAGTGGGGTCCTGATCTTGCTTGGGGCCTCTACATGCTCCTCCAATAAAAATAATAATTTTGCTGTAGTCCCCTTATTTGCTGTAAAATTTACCAGTAAATAAAAAGCCCAGTTGTGTTTCCTTGGAGGTCTATAGGAGTGAATTTGTTCTTTTTGTTTCAACTGGCTTCAGTGAGAATAAGATCACGCCCAAATCAACTGTGTTTTGGGTATGAGTGTCGTCTTCCCTAGCTGCTGCTGCCTCAATCTCTTCTGACTCATGTCCCATCACTAATGTTAAAAAAAGTGAATCGGGGCAGTAGACTTCAGAATGGGGTTCCTTCTATCCTAATGGGAGAAATATGCAGTATCTCTAGATAGACTACCCAGATTCCTGGGTAAAGGAATCTCCTATCTATAGCTGACAACTTTCAGCCTCACCTCATGATGGGTGATAGATTGGCAGATTGAACTGGAAGTAATGGGAGGGGGAAAGCTCCACGTAGATCCTATAAATATAATCACTTTATAGGCAGTATTAGTCTACTGTGAGTATTTATAAGGAACCTATTCCCTTCTGATTTAAGTGCCTATGATGAACAGTTTCCAACTAATAGGAGTGATGTAAAAAAATTGGAAAAAATCAGATTGTTTCAATTTATTGGCTGATGGTTACCAGCAGGTACATGGAAACAATACCTCTTCCTGTGATACCACTTGTGATTCTAGCCTGGGGAACTCCAGTCATCAGAATATCAAATCCATAGTTTGTAATTACAGACACTTCTCTTCTGAAGTAACATAGATAAATAAGCATATGCTTCTAGTTTCTCTCTGCTACTAGGTGGACAGTTGGGTCTCTTCTTTCCTCTTCTGGCAGACTGTAAACAGGTGAGTAGCTTTTCTTCTTGGGCTCAAGCTCCAACATGCTGTCACTCTAGTTCTGATTTACGCAAAAAGATAATGTAATCGCCTTGATCAGCATCTTGCAAGCTGACGTTTCTGGTGGTCCATTGTTTAATTTTAGGTTGAATAGCCTTACTGGGTGCTCTTTTCTAGAACCACACAAGATTTCAACAAGAAAAATACATTTGTTTAACACATTTTTTTCCCAGCTTTAATGCAAATTTCAAATGTCTGAAAGGATTTCAAATTTTGAGTATTTTTAAAGGAAAAAAAAGTCAATGTTTAAAACTTTCATGAGAAATGCATCCCATTTTCCAATAAGATCTAATTTCAACACATGTCCCTCTCTTTCTCCATGAGCTTATTTTTTTGGCACAACAGATATTACATGTTTCCTCCCCGCCCCACTTACGTTTGATAGAAAGATAGTAGTTTCCAAACAACTCACTGTTGGGAGATGAGACTGTGGGAAGAACAATAACAGCCTAGTCATCACATAGTTTATTCACAAACTGCTGTTCCTTTTAATTGAAATGCCATGAAAATTGCCTTGGGTTTTCCTGACTGAGATGCTACAACAACAGGAACATTAGAAATCACTTTTGACAGAGCCCATGATAACAGCAGTCATTGTTAGCTAGCCTCGAGGGCTTTGCTATGCAGCTGAAAAGGGGGAAAGTATTTACATATTCTGTTCTTTCAAAGATATTCCAGTGAGAATCAAGCCATTGATCATTTCTTGTATCTACACAATGTCACAAAAGTTTTATAATCAAAAGAGCTCAATTATTATATCACTTTACCACGACTCCTTGCCAAGCCCAACTGGATGCTGCTGGGAAGAAATTATTTTTTCATGTACAATTTGCATATCATAACTAAACAGAGGCAGGGAAGCATGGTGGGAACAACAAAGGGAGTAATAAGGGTTTTGTCTGAGGCCAGGTCAACACTTGCCAGAGATAATGGTTGATGATTGAATCACTTGTACTTTGTTACCTACCAGCACTGACTGGTTTTCATCATGATGATAAAAGAAACAAATCTTGCACAATAAGCATTGATCCCCATTGTTAGACTCTGAAAGCAGTACAACTGCTTTTCACTCCAGGAAATCACAAGTGAAAAATGATCTTAAGAATATGACAGCCCTTCTTAAGTGAGTGAATTATTTTCAGTAATATACATAGGGTACAGAGCCCACAGCGAGAACACTGAGACATTTTGTACTCAGTTTAGTAAGAAACCTGAACCTGTGAAAAATTGTTTAGCATAACCCCACAGTATCTGCTTAATAGTATTTATTTTGGCTTACACACTGTCACAGATGTTCATTATTAAACAAGGAAAACACTGTAAATTTAGTAGATGGTTTAAAGGGAAGAAAGAAACCAGAGTAAAATTTATAAGCATATTTATATGTGACCTGACCAGGATCTCCAGAGTGTGTTTTAGCCACCTGCTGGAATCTGGTTTCCTCTTGGGAGCACATTGACGTAAATCCACTTAACCCTAATAGGAGCTGTTGAGATTATTGAATGACTTGGCTAATGGGCAAGTGAAAGGGGTCTATCTAGGTGAAAAACTTTCAAAGGATGTTTTCAGGTTTGGAGGAGATAAGATGTTTGTGTGGGTCTGTTATCACTTTCTCATGCTAGGATACCTTAGATGTGTCCACTGGAATTTGGCCGTTGCAGATTCAGTCATTATATTCACATGGGAATTTTAGCTGACCTTGTCAACTCTGACAGCAGTGCATTAGATAGCACAGAGAAACCCTTCAATAAACCTCCCCAGGTTTCAAGAGCTCTATTAATAGAGCCACGACATCTGAGAGAACACTAGTACTGGAGGTGTGAGGTTTTTAATTATATTAAGCTTTTGCTTGCTTGTGTTAGGTATGTACAATGAAGCCAAGGATACATACTATATAATGGGGACATAACCCCTGGTGCTTCAATGATACTCAGCTTCACTTCTGCTTCAATAAATTTCTCCATTAATTCTATTATGTTTGATCATCAAATCTT